TATATATATAATCACAGAAAAAAAAATGATGCAAATATTTTTTTCAAAATTTTATGTTTTAAAAAAATAAAGACTGAAATGAATTGTAACAATATTTCAAATAAATAGGAAAACATAATACAATTCAAACCTAAACTATAAATTTTGACTTTTATCTCTGATAATGACACCAAAAAATTGATGATTGAAATTTGTTATAAGACAGGTTGGTTAATCACGCAAGTATAATCGTCGAAGTGACAAAAGTGAAAGTCCTAATAGTCCTAAAAGAGCAGAAAATAAAAAAAAATTAGTACCAGAAAAGCCAGAGAAATTATGAGTCGTTAAGAGATGATGAGGTTCATGCTCCTATGACACAGATGTAGTGTTCTGTCTATATTTTTCCTATGACTTTCTCTTCGTGATAGTTGACAACCAAATACACAATCTTTTTTAGTCTATGACTACATCATAAGAAAGTTAGACATCATATTAAAGTTAATAAAGACTTAACCATGCAGTATTTCCCAGGATTCCTTGGATCCTCTATCTTGGTTGCAATTTTTTAATAGCTTAATATGTCTATTTTATAAGACAATTGAGTGTTAATGTACTAGTTCTTCTTGGTGACGGTTAGAAGTCTTATACTACAAGGGTTTTTAACATACTGTCGGGTTTAAATCAAAGTGAATTAAGGACAAAAAGTTTACAAGTCAACATATAAAATTTAAAGCCACGAAAAATGTTTACAAGGAAAACTCATTATAGAAATAATTAGAAAATTTTATCCTTACATCACAGGAGCATGAAAGAACATTAGCTATGAGACATGAAGTGGAATATCATGTAAAATTTCATTACAAACATTGAAGATATAAATTCAAAAAAATACACAAACTTACACATAAGCCAAATTTTCTCAGCAATGCATCACTTCCTCGTCGTATAATGAAACACTCTCCTTAATATTTCTCACACTGCAACATTCAATTTCTTTCTCTCTTATACACAATGTGTCAAATCTCAAAGGAAAACTATCCTCAAGAGTTTCTCACCGATGAAGGAGAAAGAGAAATAATAGGGTTTGGCAATGAAACCCTAAATCTTGTTGAAAGAAACCTCTAATGTGCTATCAAGCTCCTCTAGAATGTCCCAAAACATCTCTTTATATATTTCTTGTCAAATTCATCAAGCAAAAAGATGTCAAATCAAAGGTTCGACGGACATCGATATAATTATGTTTGTGCCTAGCGTAATTGCGTCGCATACCAGCGTAGCTATGCCTGGCCCTCGTGTAATCAAGCCTAACACACTGAGAAGCTATCATAACTACTCTGGAAAGTAACATAATTACTCTAATCCAATATTTTTTCCAGCTTTGTGTTTGGCTTCGCAACACATCGTCAACCCCTATAATATGCAAATACCACCAAGAAACATTTCCATAAGTATAAAATTATGATAAATAGAGAAGAAAACATGATATTTAAACTAGTGACATATCGCAAATTTACATCATATCAATCAATAGCCCTAATAGTATCCTAAAAATACACAATTTTCACTTTCTTTAAAAGAGGCAGCAATGGCTGCAACATAACTTCTATGTACTTATTATTTTTATGAGTCATTGTCATCACATTCTTTCATAATAACTTAGAATTAATTCATGAGAGGTCAACCAACTATAGGGAGGCTATCAAATCTCTTCATTTTAATAGAAGAATATTATACATGATGAAAAAAAGATAGATTACATTTAAAAATTTTCAATGATCATAATTTATGTATGGGAAAAAATAATAAAATCCACCCAATCAATCACAATCAATGTGTTTGTTCATCAAAGTTTAATTCAACTTTAGAAGCTTTTTTATCTTGCTTTTTTTTAAAAAAAATTTCAAGACATACAAAAGATCTCAAAACTAATAGAAACCCAATGTTGCTTGTGCTCAATGAGTTGCCAAACACCTAAGCAATCCATCCCAAACCTTACAATAGTTGAAATGAACTACTGCCAAGTTGCTTTAATATATTTAACTCTAAGTTGATGTCACTTGAACAAAAGCTATACTCTCCCTAGTACTTTGCTACATCCTAAATTACATAATGTAGAAATAAATATAAGAACTTAATGATAATAGTTCATAACAAGACAAAAAAAATTACTTCAATGTTTTTTATTCAATCTATATATTTACATTATATCACCCAAATGTTTTATATCACATAAAAATATAATAATTGTGATTTATAAAAGTGGAATACACTTTTATATTCAACTTTTGGAACATATGTTTATTTTGCCAACACGGCCTTCAACCTCACTCTCTCTTCTCTCCTCTGCTTTCCTCTGCTCTACTTTACGCTCAGACCTCGCCTCCGGCCTTCAACCTACCCTCAACACCCTAAACGCCATGGACGGCGGTTCGTCTCACCATGCTCGCCCAAATCCAGGCATGCCGTCTCTCTCTCTCTCGCTTAACTGATGCATATCGTCAAACAATAGCTTAGCTTTTGCTCAACATCCCCTTTTCTTTTGGCTATCAAGCAGGTCTATCCGCCGGGAAACGCGTCCCCGTTTATTCTGCTGCTCAGGTAAATTTAAATGGAGATTGAAACACTGTTCATCGCTAACGAAAGTCTTGCTGTTGCTCTTTTCCTTTTTCCCATTCTTGATCTGGCTTGTTTTCTTTGCTGAGATTTGTGCTTGCTATTGAATCAAACTTGTGCTTTCTATTAGGTTTAGCTTGTAACGTAAATTTTCTGAAGGAGTTATTTTTTATTTATTTATTTTTTTTTTGTTGAAACAATGAGAATCATGATTCTGCTGAGTTTGGGCATTCTTAACTTTGCTTAATTTTTTCTTTTTCATGGAATCGGCAAAAGAAACCCTTGTTCAGGTTTTTGTGAATAAAATAATAATTTAGGTGATGAAGTGATAATGTAACAGATTACTGAAGAAAACAGACATAAGGCTCATAAGAATCATCACAGATGTAGGGCAGACGCCCCACTAGGTGGAGTAAAGCAAGTATGTTATAATAGACTGATTTTTGTTTTAATATAAGGAAAAAATATTAAGTGCGGATAACGCACGCAGAGCTAAGTGCTAAGGCCAATCCGAATATGTCAAATATTGTTTATTATTATTTTATTTTAAAGAAAATATTTTAATCTAAAATACTGAAAAAGAAATAGTGCGGCCCAACCCAGCTCTAGAAAAAAAATAATGATGTTTGGGTTCATTCGACATTCCATATTCTGAAATCGACGTTTTTAAGTTTAAAACTGTTGTTTGAGTCATATATACACATGCCATTATTGAGTTAGAATTTGTGACCCAAATTTTGTTGGGTTTGGATGAGAAAATTTGCAATATGACATATATGACCGAAAATTATGGGAAGATTATTTTACAGGCTTCTGTCTCCGCACTTGCAGAGAAATATTAGGCGTGTTGCATGCCCTACCCTCTCTCTCCTTTCATTGGGTGGTCGTAGGTGCATGCGACACACCTAATATTTCTCCCGCATCTGCACCCTACGGTATGGATACCCTTGTCGTATGGAGTCATTATTATTATTATTATTATTATTATTATGAGAAATTTTTGCGTACATACCCACAAATCTTATCTATTTACATATCTTACACCCTAAGTTTAATATTTGCACTTATAACACATTGGCGTCATAAACCTATGCCCGAAAAGCTGTATTTCAATCTTAAACAAATTTACATACGTACCCACAATTCTTATCTATTTACATATTTTGCACCCTAAGTTTAATATTTACACTTATAATATATTTGTGTTATAAACCTATGCTTGAAAAGGTGTATTTCATTTTTAAATAAATTTACATACATACCCACAATTCTTATGTATTTACATATCATACACCCAAAGTTTAATATTTACAGTTATAACACATTGGTGTCAAAAACCTATAGGTGAAAAGGTGTATTTCAATATTAATAAGCTAGTGATGATGGCATTTTGGTTGTGATATTAAAGATTTGAGTGGTATGCATGTAAATATGAATGTTTAGGGTTTGGATAAGTAAATACATAAGAATTTTGGGGTATTATGTAAATGCCACTACTATTATGATTATTATTATTATTATTATTATTATTATTATTATTATTATTATTATTATTATAAATGTGTGTGTGCGCACGTATTTGTGTATGTATGCATGTATATTTTTATTTATTTAAGATTTTGTGGGGCATAATGTGTTATTTGAGCCTTCACCCTCCACTTGTAATACTCTCTTCCTTTTTGATATAGTGAATTTCCTCCTTTGCTCATGATTTTTTTCCATATAGTTTTTCCCATAAATCTATGTATTGTTCTCCTTGCTCTTTTATTTATGGAAGAAAGCATTTCTATAGTTTGCTACTCACATATTTCATCAGATATTGATAGTTTCTTCTTTTCTTCTAGCTTATCGAAAAACAACAATTAAAATGGAATTCGGTGAAGGAGAAACCTTACCCTGCTATGTACTCAAGCTACTTTGGTGGAATCATTCTTGATCCATCCATGATGGTTCTTCCAATCGATGATCATATGGTGCACAGAGGACATGGCGTCTTTGATACAGCCGTGATATTGAATGGGTAGGTAGAAAATTTTTGTTCTAGTTTTGTTATTCAGTAAATTCTTCTTTTTTCATGTTCCTTTTTTGAGTGATAATTCAAAATGGAATTTTTAAAGCTGGCAGTCACTTATTAAGCTTTAAGAATAGATTGATTTGATTATCTTATTTACTTCACAAAATAATGTCTATGTATGTTTCTACTAAAATCCACATTCAAATCATAAGTTGTGGTGCATAAAGTTTGCCGACTTCTTCTTTTCATACTCTAAATTTCTTAACTGATAAACATGGATGATCCAGTATATACGCTAATACTTTAAAAATCTTGTTGGTTTGCACGATTGTTTATCACATATATGATTATACTTTTTACTTTTAAAGGATCTCATGTTACTAAAAAATTTCTTGATTGATACATAGTTTTCTTTAAATCTATAAAAATCTATCATTTGGAAGTTTCGAAATAACATGAAAATATAGATAGCAGACGCATCTGTGCGCATGTTGTAAATTTTCTTTTATTATAATAACCATCTCTTATTTTCTTTTATTTTCGTTTATTTTTCTGAGGGGTTTCTTACTGAGGAAATGAAACATGATTCGTGGCAGTAATCTAAGTTGTTTGTCTGGCTTTAGCATTGTTTCCAGCGTTGTTGTCTTAAAACTGTATTGTTGCATTTTATTATTTTTAGGATAAACTTTTCACCATGGATCTTGTTGCTTTTATCTTCATATTGCTTTATAATTTTCTGTGTAGTGTCTTGCTCTTTAAGTTTATTAGATTGAATTTTTGGGATGTAGATCAATCTTATTCAATATGTAACAACTATCTCATTTTCCTACTGTTGGCCTACCCTTCACATTCTTGAGAATCATATGCATAAATGCTTCCCCTGATACTATGGCAGATATTTTACTCCTTGTGCACCTTATGTAGGTACTTGTATGAGCTGGATACCCACCTTGACAGATTCCTAAACTCAGCATCAAAAGCTAAGATTTCTTCTCCATTTCCTAAGGAAACTTTGAAAAGCATATTAATCCAGACAACAGCTGCCTCAAAGTGCAGAAGAGGCTCACTCAGATACTGGTTAAGTGCAGGTCCAGGAGACTTCCTCCTGTCTTCTTCGGGTTGCCCAGAGCCTGCCTTCTATGCAGTAGTTATTGCTGACAACTTTTCCCAGCGCAAGGAAGGTGTTAAAGTAGTTACAGCCACTACTCCAATGAAGCCTCCTATCTTTGCCACAATGAAGAATGTCAACTATCTCCCTAACGTTCTAGCAATTATAGAAGCTGAAGAGAAGGGCGCCTTTGCTTCAGTCTGGGTTGATGATAATGGCCACATTGCAGAAGGTCCTAATGTTAATGTTGCATTTATAAGCAACAAGAAGGAACTACTTCTTCCCACTTTTGATAATATACTCACTGGGTGCACAGCTAAGAGGCTTTTGGCATTAGCTCCAAAACTAGTTGAAAAGGGACTTTTGAAGGGTGTGGAGACTCGGAATATAACGGTAGATGAAGCTAAAAATTCAGCAGAAATGATGTATGTGGGGAGCACGCTTCCATTATTGCCAATCATTGAATGGGATGGAAAACCGGTTGGAAATGGTAATTTTTATCCTTTTGTGCTGTTGGAGAAAGGATTTTTTTTTTCAAACATATTAAGTGCATGTAGAATAACCTTGCATTGTAAAAAAGTCATTTTTGCTCATTAAGCACTCCCAGTATGAGTTGCATTTGTTCTATTTTAAAAATTAGGCAACTCAATCTGATATTATTATGGCTACGTTCTGTTTATGGTGAGTGGGGCTAACTTATTCTTATTGTGTAATAGGAAAAGTAGGAGAATTAACACTCGCGCTGTCTGATTTGCTTTGGGATGATATGATTGCTGGTCCAGAACGAATCTTCGTTCCATATGAAGATGATGATGCATTGCAACAGAGCAAATTATAAGCATCGTGAGTACATTATGTCCACCCTTTCCTAAAATAATAATAAGAAGCTATGATTCACTTTCGACACTTCAAGTCATTCTGTAGTAAGTTTGGAAAATTTTCTTCAGTATGAATAGGAGTTCTATTGATTTTTCATCTTCTCTCTTTCTCCTTATGTTCCATAAGACCATCTCAGCGGGGTATTTGACCTGATTACTACACTGCAAAGGTCTGGCCTGGTCTTGTCTCCTTGTATCATGTTTTGCACTAAGTCAGGATGCTTCAGCATTGGTTTTTTGTCTGTTTCCACGTTGATTGTATAATAAATTATGTGGTTTTGTTTTCAAGTACATTTTTTTCTTGTTTTCGTGTGATTTGTGCTATTTTAACATATCATGAGGGTAAAAAGATTGTAGATGTTTCTATACATTCTTTTACTGAGAAAAAAAGTAGTGTGATGGTAAGTTTAGGATTCTTTGTGGGCGAAAAAAAATCACTATTCTGATTCCAAGGACTTTCTACTTGGGGCACTGATATTGGGCAGTTTTGGTCAGCATTGAGCTTAAATGGAATCCAAAATTCACCACAAGCTTCTAGAGCAATATAGATGGGAAAGATAAGCTTTTGAATTTCCAGTTGACGTTGAAAAATTCCAGAACTTATGGAGAAAGTTCCGAATGTATGATTAATTGGTAAGGACTAAGGATCAGACAAAGGTGAGTAAATTAAGATTCAGGGAGTCACAAACCAACCCCACCTTTATAGATGAAGAGAGGAGGTAAAATCAAGGAAGATATAGTTTTTTTTTTCTCCAAAATTTTCACATTTTACCAAACATGGTCGATCAAAGAAAATTATAAAAGAATTTTCGAGGATAATTTAGTTTTTAATGTATTCCAGATTAAATAGGGTTAAGAAGTTGTAATATATGCTAGAACAGTTATATGGTAAATTATCATTAGTTTTTATCAGATTTTCATAATTTGTATTTTAGGACTCCTCATAGCTATAAATCTGAAAGTCATTTGTATTGAGTTTTATTTATTAAATCAATGAATCAATTGTTTAATTCATAATATAATCTCCCTCCCTCCCTCCCTCCCTCACTCTTATTCAATCTCTCTCTCCCATCACTCTCTTTCTCTCTCTATCTTTAATGTGAGCTTAAGGGACAAGAAGTGTTCTTCAAGAAGAGGATAAGAAGCATGGAACATAAGAAGAGGCATACAATGAAAGGGCCTATAGTAAGGAACACTAATAAAGAGATGATGCAAGCAAGAACAAATCTAGCATCTCTTCGAAAGGTTTTCAATCATTTTGGAGCTCTATTAATCTCAAGCTCTAGCTCCCTTGAGTGGATCTTGTCATGCTAGGCTAGCCCAAATCTTAATATGCTATCTAAAACTAGACCAATATGATCTTAGATCAACCCTAGTATAATATTCAATGCTAGACTAACTTCTTCTCATATTAAATCCATTCATTTTGCATTCACAAGGTGACATAGGTAGCCCATCTTGAGTTAAGTCAAAATGATTTATTGAGTCAGTCTTAGCACACTAATTAAGCATTAGGTTGATATCCTAATCGTGAATATCTTCTTATATACCCATGCCAACCTAATCTAAACTAATTATGAGTTAAGTATAACCCAAATAAAACATATAACCTAGTTGGTTAAACCCCTAACTTGATTGGCTAAACCTAAACCCTATATGTACTGCCCTAGATATATTTAATTTAGCCTAGCACATTGGTAACTAGCATATGCCAAATCGACCTTAAGCTAACCCAAATTTCAAATTAAACTCAATGTGCCCAATTGAACTCATCCCACACGTTGTACTTGATCCCTTCGTCTTCCAATTATGGAGCATGAATTTAGCCTACTTGCCCTTTGATTCCTTCAAAAAAATAGTTGTAACTTTGTTTAAGTTACTCAAAGCTCTTATCATCCATAGAAATTCAAATTGACCAATCATAGATTGTTACTTTTTTTAGTGTCCTACTCAATCCCTAATGATTTGGAATATTCTTGAGACATTTTACAGTCGTCAAAAGTCTTCCTTAACTAATTGGTCAATTCTCGTCGTGCCCTTAAAATTGGTAAGGGTCATCCCAATCCTCTTTATATAACCCCTTTCCTAATATCCATTGTAAAGTTTCAATATCATCTCAATCTTTTCTAAGCTTTCTATCTCTCAAAACCACCTCCTACAATTCAAAGTAGAGCTAGTTGATTAGGAATATAGGAGGAGATTACACCACATTTGATCAAGGTCAAGGAACCTTGCCTAAACCCAGGCGAATTTGATTGATCCATGAGACAAATCAATCAAGACTCTAACTGAGGCACACTGAGGCACACACATTACACCTAGATCAAAACAAACGCTTCTATTTACCTTACTGAGCATTATGCTTCAACAAAGTTCTGCATGCCATTGGAAAGGGCTAGTGATTGCTAGTTTCTTGTCAATTAATTTTCCTATCTTAGTTGGGATGCCTTAAACATAAAGAAGAACTCTTTTTTTTTCATCTTATTTTGGGTAAAGGGAATCAATGGCTATGATTAGATCTTGGTATTATGCCTTCATTTCTCCATCTAATTTCATATCCACCATATATCATTTATTAGTAAATGCTTAGCACTTCCTTTCATTCACATAAGAAAAAGGTAGCATGATCCGATGGTCATGTTAGCTCAACTTGGTGGATGATAGTATATAATTTGTGATTTAAGATTTATTAATTGATGGAAAAAATTATTTTTTGACCAATACAAAGCCTAAAAAATTAGTTCAAATATACTATTAAAATAATTATACAATCATTTTGGAAAACATATAAAATAATTAAGTGGTTTTATTATTTTCTTATAAATATTATTTAATAAATACACATATATTTGAAAATCAATGTAGGCCTTTTGTTGCATCCATTGCATATTTTGGAAATTGAATCTATTTTTCTTTTTTTAAAATGCATTTTCAATGTTTTCTTAGAAAATCATTATAATTAATAAAAAGTAAAAAATAAAAATAAAAATAAAAATTTTAATATTAAATCTAAAACCCCATTATTAAATTACAGATATCTTGCGCCAGAGTATGCTCAAAGTGGCCAAATTACAGAGAAAGCAGATGTATATTCTTTTGGTGTGGTATTATTAGAGCTTATAACAGGACGCAAAGCTATGGACATTAACAGGCCGAAGGGCGAGCAATGCCTCACTGAATGGGTAAGTTGAGCAATCCTCATTTTCCGAAATAGTAAACAATTATTTAACAAGATTTCTAGGCTGGATAACTCTTTCTGATTTATTTGTGGCGAATTTATTTATTTATGTATTTTTCTTGTTGCATACTCCTTTGATTTTTCACAAAACTATCCATTTTGCATATTTTTTAAAATTGTAAAATAATTTTAAATGCATTTCATGGTATTTGCATATTTCTTTAAATCTTGTTAAAAAAATGATTCTATATATTTGCATGTTTTGTCATTATGATGCTTTACTTGTTGATTTAAGAAAAATAATAAAAGTCCAAATAATTTCTTTTAGTCACATTAATAAATGATTATTATTTAATTCCTAACTCTCACAGTAATTTAAGACGGGCGATTACATACAGACCGCTTGGCTCGGCGTCCGGGCGATGGCCCGCTGTATCACGGCCGTCGCCCAGACACAGCTCGACGTCCGGGCGACAGACGTAATAATCTCTCTTTTCATCCACTTTTCAAATTGTACTCACACATCAAAATTATGTAAAAAGCCCAACACATATTTTTTTTATTTTAAAATATAATATATTTTAGCATTTGATTTAAAAATATGACCATCATAATTAAATTGGCATTTTATATATATATACCACACAATTCTTATGTATTTACATACCTTACACCTGAACTTTAATCTTTATGTTCATAGCATTAAATTTTTCATATCAAATAATGTGAAACACACCTTTTTAAGCGCAGGTAGAGTGGTATAGATGTAAAAATTAAAATGTGGGTGTTAGATATGTCATACATAGAAATTATATGGTTTGTTTGTAAATCTTCCTAATTAAAATTTAGAAAATGTGTTCTATTTCTTCTTGGTTGAAGGACATTATATGTGCAATGATCTAAATAAAATTGATTTGAATTTTTTTTAAAAGATCAAGTTAGCTATGATTCATTAATGTACATCTTTTCTTTTAATTTATTATTTTTTAAATATACAATTTTTCTCGATCGAATATATAATTTCGGCTCGGAAGAGTTTTTTTAATTTCATTTATAAAGAAAAATATAAATTAGGCTAGGAAGAATTTTTTAATTAATTTAGCACAAGTTCTGCCAACAACAACAGCACAACAACCACAACAATAAAGCCGTAATCTCACTACGTGGGGATCACAAATTCTACCATAATAGGCAAATGTATCCCAATTTCTACCATAATAGGGTCTACATTCGTAAATGATCGGTTGAATAATGTTATTGTCTTTTGTTGTGAGATATGTACTTCCTGGCATAGAAATGAACGGAGAGCTCCGATACCTTCTGACAGAGATCACACTTGTTCACCGGAGAAAACTTCTTGTTCTGTGCTGACTTCCACGGAAGAGAATCAATCAAATATTTCACTAAGGCAAAAGAAATGGAGAATACATAGCTTATACATAGAGATGAGCCCTCATCTTCCTTCTATGGCCTCCCTCTCAAGCGACACCTTGATACAAGGCCTCAAGATGCTCTCCTCCTCTCTAGCTCTCTAGCTATTCTCTCCTCCTTTGTGGTGGCTTAAGATCTCTTCTCTTTCTCTCCTAAGCCTTACACCCTTAAGATCTCTTCTCTTTCTCTCCTAAGCCTTACACCCTTAAGATCTCTTCTCTTTCTCTCCTAAGCCTTACACCCTTAAGATCTCTTCTCTTTCTCTCCTAAGCCTTACACCCTTAAGATCTCTTCCCTTGCTCTCCTAAGCCTCACACCCTCTCTATTTATAGAAGCAAGAGAGTGGTAGGTGGGAGGTAGGTGAGCGTTAGGTGAGCGGTAGGTGAACGGTAGGTGAACGGTAGGTGAGATGTGGTAGGTGAGCGATACCACATTACAAAAGTGTCCTTTTACTTTAGTTCATTAATTGGGGGTCAAAATAACACCTTTTGAATGAGATAGTAGTAGAATTAGGCAAGGTAGAATCAATACAAAGTTTGGATGCCAACTCTACTAAAGGTAAGACATGAACCTTTAGTAATAGCTATTGGCATTCTTATCTTGCTAGCAAGTTTTTAAATATTATTTTTATACCAACTACATAAAGGTACATTTGGAAAGTTTGAGTTAGATGGGAACTTTCTCGAAATGCTAATTGATATGTTTGAAGTCAAAAGTTTCATTTTTTTTTTAAGATGAAGAGTCTGCCACTAATGAACCAAGGGCCCCCAAGAAGAATCATATCTAGATCTTCCACACGAGCGCTTATTGCGCACGGATACTGCACACAAGTTTGTGTGCGATGTCCAATCTGAACCACTTAAATATATCTTTTTTATTTTTTTTATTGTTAAAGTGGGGCCCACTCTAAATTTTTGTCTGCACATAATATTTTTTCCTTCCACACATTTAAACATAAAAAAAAAACTCAAATAAAGAAATAAATTTGGTTGTATCTCGTGGCTTCCAGAGTTTAATAATGGCTTTTAAGAGATTACCATAGAACAGTCGCTTGCCTAAAGCATAGCCAAACAATGCAAGGTTCCATTGCTGGGAACCCTCATCGACATCTTTATCATAAAATGAAATTTTATCTTCATCACATGGTATGTGGGTGAGAGAGGTTGTTAGGGTTAGGTATCTTGAAGTGATGAGCGCTTTCTAGTTTAGGAATGAAATCAGGCCAATGATTGGGAGGAAGATGATTATTTCATGGAAAGCAAATGGACAAGCCCGTAAGTTGAAGTGAGAGGAGGGAATGAAACCTAGGGCTGTCCAAAAGTTCATTGTTGCGAACGACCCACATTTGACTCATTAGAAAGCTCGTTTTCAAAAAGCGAGCCGAACACGAATATTTTTTTTTAAGCTCGCATTATGAATGGGTTAAACACCAACAACACTTTATTTGATCTTGTTTGGATTGTTTTAGCTCAAAATAAAAATATTATTTCTCTCCAAAGCTTTACGTCCTTAAGATCTCTTCCCTTGCTCTCCTAAGCCTCACACCCTCTCTATTTATAGAAGCAAGAGAGTGGTAGGTGGGAGGTAGGTGAGCGGTAGGGGGGCGCTAGATCTTTGTTTTTTAATTAATTAAAATGAGCCAATTTTGAGTCAAACATAAGCAAAAAGCCAACACGAATATGTAACTCGGGTTGAACACGAACACAATATTAACAAACAATTTCAAACATGAGTCAATCTCAAATAGAAGTAATTTTGAACAAGTTGAACATGAGTCAAGCCTAAGCTTGCTCAAGCTCGACTCATTTGCAGTCCCATTGGAACCAATAGTTGAGGCAATTTGGGGACGACAAAGGCTTTGAGAGGAAAAAGGGAAATGAAAGGGGCGGTTGAAAACCTAACAGAGCCGCTTTCCAATACCACCATTTTAACTTTTAAAAAGTGAAATACAACTTTTCATCCAGTGTTAAGATGACATGCATGTAAAAATTGAAGGTTTAGATATGGAAATACATAGGAATTGAGTGGGATGTATGTAAATCTTTCTAAAATTTGTAATTTAAAATTACAAATAGCATGCAACACTTATTGCACTTTTAAGGTCATTTTGACATTTTAATCCATTTTGAACATGCCCGCCCCCAATTCTTGTCAAACAATAATTTTCCCAAACCTTCGTACCTTGATGTCAAGAACAAAACATGTCACCCTAAAACAATAACTACAATACATTTTAACATAAAATCATAACATCTTACCCTACATCAATCATGTCCAATAACAAGGCCTTTATTACAATCATCAATTGATATGTTTCATTATTTGAAACTTGCCCTGAGCATTTAAACAGCAAAAGGCATTTACATATACACCACAAAATTTTTATTTATGTATATATATTTAATAACTAAAATATTTATGTTTATTTATAACATTATTGTCTATTCATATCAAATTATAGGCATTAAAAATATATTTCAATTTAGATTACCTAATATTAATAAATATTTTTTATATAATTTAGAAATTAGGAAATTATATAAATAAATATAAAATTAAGTCTTGCATATAAGGAATTATAAAAGAGCAAATTGTCAAAATAGTCTCCCACTATTTACATTGAATCTTTTTAAGCTTGGAGAACAAAAAGGAAAGGGAAGAGAACAGCCACCTGCCCTAGAGTACTCACTTGCCCGTTAGGTCTTTCAAAAAAAGTGGACCCCACCACCTCTGTAAATCCATTCATAAGATTCAAACCTGCAAAAACACTAAACAAGGAAACCAAGACTCCCACCTCCAACGGCTATAAACATCCCCTGCTTCAAAAGAACTCTGAGAAGATGTTTTTTTAGCTGCGAAACACCCAGAAGAAACCGAGACAGACAAGAGATATATCTATATCTATATATATATATCTTCTTTCTCCTTCAACTCCCCTCAAAACCCTAATGTGCTCTCTCCCACCGACGCCAGCAATGGATTCTTCAACGCCCAATACTCCGCCAACCCTCAAGTCCCAACCCCGACTTCGATCCAGGTGCATTCCTCACCTCTCCAACCCCTTCGATGATCAAATTGAGAACCAAACCCTAACATCGCCATCACCGAGAAAAAACCCCTCCCCTCTTCAGTTCCCCATCCACGAACTCCTCCTCCCCTCTCCCCCTAAACCGCGACCTAAACTACGCTACATTGCGGAAGAAACCCACGATCTGCCTCCATCGGAAGCCACTCCTCGCCGCAAAAGTAAGAATAGGGGGCTCGCTGCCCCGATTTCCCCGAGGAATGGCCGAAGGGCTAGGAGGAGATTGGAGAAGGAGAATGTGAGGGAGGAGAAGGTGTTCAGTCAGGTGGAGGATGAGGGTAGGAAGTTGAAGAAACGTAAGCAGAGCAGACCTCGGCCTGCTCGAAAGGAAGCGCAGAGTTTGATCCGATCGCTTCCTTGTTCCTGTTCAAAAACGGGTATGTGGTTTCTTTCTTGCTTTAATGCGATCGTACAAACTTCTGTTTCTTTACTTTTTGCAATTGTTAGGGTTTTGATGTTCTTGTTTTTCGTTGTTCGGATTGAATCTTAATTTATTTTTTCAAACGTTGAAAACCCATCTTCACCGAGAGCAACTTTTGTTAAGTTTTGAAAGTTGCTCAGATGAACAGTGACATGTTAGCTATATTTTTTTTTTTTCAAAGTTTTTGACATGTTAGCAGATTTGAACAGTTTTTAGTGGATGTGGATTAAAAAACACATAAGCTAAACCATGCTCAAAATCACTACCTAAATGAAACCGATAATATGGTCTTCAACGGATTCAATGCTTTAAGTGAATTCTTTTTCTTAGATTTTGTGTGAGCTATATTTTGGTGCTATTCTAACTTGGCTTTTCTTTTGAGGTCTAGATCAAGATTACATTGCTCTAGATGATCAAAGTAGCTTGGAAAGATTCTGTAAGGCGGTTTCGGATCTGTTGATGTGGAAGAATGTTGCAAAATCTGGACTTTGGTTTGGGTCTGGATCAATTCTGTTTCTGTCCTCCATCTTCTCATGTGATGTTGCGTTCAGGTATGCTAGCTAATAATAACAAGTGAAACTGGACCAAATTTGGCTCAACTGGAAATCAAAGTAATAATTCATAACCGAGATTCAAACCTAGAACAAAACTGAATCTAGTTCAGCAGCAGGCTCTAAAATATTTTAAAATACTCATCTTGGGATTAGTTTCAGTATCTGCTTTGTTTTCTTGTTATTTCAGTATAATATCAGCAGCATCTCATTTGGGAATTCTGATTTTGGCCTTGGCATTCTTCAGCGACTCAATTAGAAAAATGTATTTCTCTCTATTTCTATCTCTATCTCTATCGATATAGATTTTATGTATGCAGCTGCAGAAGATGAGTTTAATTTTTGCAGAAAGCAAGATAAGGAGAAAACCAGAAAGCTCCAGCTGACAGAAGAAGATGTTCTTCGAATTATTCGAGTAGTGTTGCCAGTAGTCAATGCTGCTCTTTCAAAGAGCGAAGAAACTTTCTCTGGCGAGCCACTGATGACTCTCAAAGTAATGGCCGCATAGCTTGCTGTTTCCTTGCCATATTCTTACTGCATTAATCACTTTCTTCACTTTGTTTTCAGGTCGCTCCAGTTCTGCTCTTCATGGCCAAATATGGCCATTTCACAACTCCTTGGAGACTTCTAGCAATAGGTACACCTGAATGAGAGTTTCAAGCATTCACATAATCTTTCAATTACTGGAGAGGGATTCATGACAAACTTTGTTTTGGCAGGTTTTTTCTCGAGCTTCACTGTTCCTAAATTTTACTCTTGCTACAACCAGCAGATACAACAGAGAGGTAGCTATCATTTAACCATTTAGGAGCCACCAAACTATTTAAATGATAATAGTAATAATGATTTTTTTCTCCTATGTCTATCCATGCATTCACTGAGAGGTTTTCTATGATCCAGTTGAAGAAGCGAAAAGCTATGTTTTAGAGTCATGGAGATCCTGTTCTCGCAAGAAATTGGTAGTTATATCAGTAGCAGCTCTGCTATGGAACATATTCAGCATAAAAATGCGAATGTTTGCAGGTATCTGCAACAATTTATATCAAGCAATGTGAAGTATTGCTCAACAAACAGTGATTGTTAAATTTTCTAAAGATGGCATATTCTTTGGGTTTAAATAGGAAGCAAATAGAACATTTCTTTAAAAAAAAAAGAAATTAGGGAGCAATAAATCTCAAAACTGTTGCTGGGGTGGGTCCTTTAATGAAGGAATATTTGTCAATGCTCTATCTTCTCATTTTACTGCCTCAATTCATTCATTTATATCATAAAATTCCTTTTTTTTTCCTCGGTTTCACAATGGAACCAATGAATTCTAATTTTGATTTTTAATCCATTTTATATGATTGTCTTTTACTCCATTTCCATTTCCATTTTATACTTAATTAGTATTAAATATATAAATATCATTATAATGATTCTGCTTATTTAACTACCTGTACAGCCTTCATCGCTGTGGTTATCCTTCGCTATCATCATGAACAGTGGCCTCATATTCAGGAATTTGAAGCAGAAGAAAATGTTAACGAGGAAAGCAGAGAAGAAGAACAGGAGGAACCGGGCAAAGAAAATAATAAAACACAAGCAATGGCATTTACAGACTAACTAGTGCAGATACAGAAAGTTGGTTAACAAAACTACAAGGTTATCGGCTTATAGAAAATAATATACTGTTTACCAGATGTATGGTATACTGCTGCAACAACAGCTGAGTAGTATGCCTATCAAATGATGTCAAATTTTTTGGTTCACAATTTCAACTATCTACTAAAAATTGTTATATTTTTTTGTGCTAAGTGCATTATCTTTTTTTTCTTTATAATATAATAAAATTATTCCCAGTTGGTTTAAAGGAGTGTTGTTATCCATCTACCCGCAGATGTTCTAATTCACAACATATTGCATTTTGAGCCAAGAATCTCTTGCAAAAAAGGGCAATATTTGTGAAATGCTGTAGGAAAACCTAATTTTGTAATGAACGGTTCAAAAATTATCTTTATTTGACTATGCCCTATAATTTATTAAAAAAACATGGATGGGTGCAACCCAAATTCATTTAAAGCTTTTGTTCAAGAGAGTAAGGCCAAGGCAACTTATAAATATCTATTTTAATGTAATCCAGAGGAATTTTTCAATGAGCATTTGCATAATATCTCACACCTAATATCAAAGCTTGGTCCGGGACTTGGAATTCACAACACGGGTACAGACGGTCAGACGATGGGAGTTAATATTTTTCATATTTAATTTCTAACCTAGCTATTGACAAATAAAAGAGTCATTAATAAAATTAATTTAAAGCAATATATTTAAAGTTACCTCATTATTAGTTATCTGGGTTTTCTATAAACGTTCTCTTTTCTAATGCTCATCGTTAATCGTTTAATTAACCTAAAAAAGTTTGTTTAAATTAATGAGTTAAGGAAGTCAATAAATACTCATACTCATAAACTACAACAGTAAAAGAAAAAATGACAATATGCATGTCAGTTCAGTTTCTTTATAAATCAATATAAACATTTAACATGTTATTCAAAGAGTTTATATCAATATTGCATCAATATTATTTCATATTTATACAACTGTCAGTTAAGCTTATTCATAAATCAATATAAACATTTAGCATGTTATTCAAAGAGTTTATATCAATATTACATCAACATTATTTTATATTTATACAACTGTCATAGGAGTACCGTATAAAAATTTATACCAATTAAGATACTTCAATTAATATCTTTTTTCATTTATGTGCATGATCATCTTAGCGTTCTCTCTCCAATACCATCAAAGGGTGACTCAATCATAGTCAATAAAAATATCACATACAAGCATTCAATAAAAATATCATTTTCTCATAAAAAAATATTTATTTCTCATTTGCATGGTAGTTAAATCATTCAATAATGATGTACACATGTAACATTCCTTCAATATGAACAAAAGTTCAATAGAATTCAAAATCATGATTTGTTGTCATTTATCATATAACTAATGAAAGTATCAATTAATGCATTCGGTCTAAAAGAAGCAAAATACCACCATAGTAAAAAAAGCTTAAGTAACTCACCTCGATCACTGATGATTCAAAACGTTCTTTTCACTTATCGCCAATGAGAAACCAAAAGTCAAATAAATAAGAAATTATAATTATTTTATTATATGTTAATCTTATTGTAAAAAGACAATTTGTCTTTATTTGAACCTTTGATGTATCATATTACTTTAATTATTATCTTCATTTAATTATTTCTTTTAAACAATTTAAGCTTAATAAAATTATTTATAATAATGTTGGTTCTCCTAATTTAACTTTGTAGTTACTTTATGTAATTTGTATCTGTCCCATTAGTCCTATAAATATACATACATTGATATTTATAATAATTTCTTATTAAATAAATATTAAAATCAAATTCTAATCATTCTTACTATAAAACATCTTTAGCTTAAAATCCAATCATTAAAACCTTATTATTAAAAATTAATAATTAATATTATAATAAATTTATAAATTTATCGTTTAAAACCCTTGCGTTACCTTTGGCTCAAACACCTCTCTGCACGTGTGACTTCTGATTCCCACAAGGGTCGGCCCAACGCTACGAAAAAATATTACATCAGTACTACGCACGTTAAAATAACGTGCGTAGCCAATTAAATCACACCACGATATCTCGCGCGACAGAGCAAATAAAACGGCGCAGTAACACGGAGAATATTCCCCTCTGTGTTATTCAGATTAAATCACGCCACAATATCTCGCGCGACAGAGCAAATAAAACAGTGCAGTAACACGGAGAATATTCCCCTTTGTGTTATTGCGCGTTATTCATGTGTTATTGCGTGTTATTCATGTGTTATTCATGTGTTATTGTGTTATTATAACACCAAGAATATTCTCAGGACACAATAACAGATGAATAACACACAATAACACTTGAATAACACGAGAAATATTCTCGATAGAGAAAAAAACGGTGCAGTAACACGGGGGAATATTCTCTCCCGTGTTTTTCTTGTGTTATTGTGTATTATTCATGTGTTATTCATGTGTTATTCATGTGTTATTGTGTTATTATAACACCAGGAATATTTTTAGGACACAATAACACATGAATAACACACAATAACACATGAATAACACGGGAGAATATTCTCCGTGTTAAGTATCGTGGTGTGATTTTATTGGCTACGCACGTTACTCTACGTGCCTCTACGTGCGTAGTACTGATGTAATATTTTTTCCAACGCTACACATGTGAGATCTTCCTCCGACACACCCTTCCACTGTATGATACTCTCGTCAACTCCTCTAAGCTGAATAAAGACGTCGTTTGACACCGACGTCAGGATCAAGTGTGCAGGAACTCTCGCACACGTCGCCTCTTCTGCACAACAGCGGCATCGCCTCTTGCCCCGCTCGACACCAACAAGAGAACTCCCACCTCTCCTCTGCTCAACTATGTTTCCTCCCACTCGAGACCGTGACGCCTCTACTCTCATCTCTGCAAGTAGGTAAAACTCACCCTATCGCGTGATTCATAAAGCGAGTGCACTTTTCCGGCTTTCATACGCTCGCTTCCACTTCTTCAGTTGTTCATTTCATCTCCCTTCTTTGTATACCCGACTTCTCACTTCCTCTCTCACCTTCTTGACTCTTCGATTCTTATTTCCCAGCAACGAGACATTACACCTAAACAACTTTAATATTTACTTACAACACTCAAATCTTTAATATCACATCAAAAATAGCATTATTACACCTTTTTTTAAAAATGAAATGCACAATTTAATGTATAATTTTAAAGCACCAAAGTGTTATGCATCTAAATATAGAAGTTTAGGTGTGAGATACATAAATACACAAGAATTGTGTGTTATGTATGTAAATTCCTCATTTTTAATCTCTGTAGAACCTAGACTGATCTAAGAATAGAAGAAAGCCTCCTCTCATCTCCTCTCTTCGAAGTAATGGTTGTTGATGAACTTCATCCACCTATAGAACAATGATCCATAGAGTTCACATTTTGATGCTCTTGTTGAGACATGACAAGAAGGAATAAAAAATCTCAAGTTCATGAGTAGAAATCTTCTTTGCTATATCGACTAGAGGTATTATAAACTAAGGGCGGCTCTTTCAGCTACTCGAGCTCAATTGGATGAGATTAATAATAAGTTGAACATGTTGGTGTAGTTGTATATGCAGCCAGGGAAATCAAAGAAAACTAAAAATGCTACCATATAACAACTCAAAACAGCTAAAGCAAATCATATCACATTCTACAAAAAAATTCTATTAATTATTAGCACAACATTGATTGGTTAATTCAAGCAGGCAATACTTTCAATACATTTTTATTTTAAGCAACAAAAATAGAGATTTCATCAACATCACCACATGATTAATTCAAGGTTTCTAAGGTGTATTGCCAATGCAGAAAGATGAATTAAATCATCCCCTTCTGTTGTGAATACTAACCAACTTTCACAAAGGATAACCACTCTGTTTTCTGAAGAAAGTTCCAGGATCACAAAAGATTCATTTGATGATATTTCATTGGCCTCTACTTCAACTGATCATCAAATAGGGTTGAAAGTAGCAGATCCCGCACAAAGTTTGCCCTGACTGTGGCCTGCCTCTGCTTCTTTTGCCTTTCTTCTTGGCTAAGAGAAAGGTCAATGCTGCTATAAACAAGAGAGTGAGATTCAATTTTTTTTTTTTTTTTCTTGAGATAAGCATAGTTTTGTATGTAGGAAACATTCAAGTAGATGTTCTTTGCACAGCCATCCCCAAACTCCTTAAATGATTTCCTGAAGCATAACCTCAGGTATCTAAATAAATTTTAAACAACACCGTCATCAATATGTGCTACTACCACAACATGGTTAAAAATCCAAATTAGATGTTCTGTTTGTTTGGTATAGAGAAAAATATCAAAATGGTCTCTTGACTATTTACTTTTAGTCCCAGAATACGAGAATATATTCATCCCCAAACTACTGTAATGGGGCTAAAACAGTTTTATTTTTTAGATTATTTCAGTTCATATTAAAAGAGTATCGGGAATTACTTAATACTTTTATATACATCGGGACTAAAATGCCCTCCTGTAAGGAGTTAAGCTACCATTTTACACTTTTCTCATTTAATATTATAGACTTACATTTCATATGGAAGTATTGTATGTAATGCTCAGTTGTTCTTAGCTTTGCTTCTTGAGACAAATGACAAATACATGAAAATTTTCACTTCCAATACCAAAGGAAATATAGTGAAAAATCATTCAAAAATCACTTATTTTCATCCTCATTATTCTATTCAAACACATTTGTAACTTCAAACTTGGTACTAAATGCTGAGCAATAAAATTAATGTAGATGAATGAATTTAATTAACCTTTAGTGTAAACTGAATATCCTAGTTTTGAAATACAAATATAACCACATTATAAATGCTAAGTTACACAGCCGGTATCAACCCCTCCCTAGATCCTGCATTAACAGGATTATAAATGCGTTAATCAAATCTAGTAGTTATGTAACACAACATATCCTTTTAGCGTGACACAAGCAAAGAGCTACCATTTAGCCATTATAACTATAAAGTATTCAAAAAACTCACATCTATCCATGATTAAAGTATTCAGCAAAATCACATCTTTCCAACAAAAAGAATGTAGCAGCTCAATTGAAAGACTAGGTTAGTCGGCAAAGACTCATTTATTCAAGAACACAATGTTGTCCAATGAAAGCTTGCTACTCCAGGTAAAGAGAGGCTTACATTGTACAAATTTTACAAGTGAATACCATAGATTCGAAGATAGACAAAGAAAAGAAAATAAAATATTAAAAATGTCATCTAAAGCTTGGATATTTAGTTGCATGTTGGGAAAAGTTCATCGAAAAAATAATTCACTTTAAAAGAAGAAATAAATCTCAAGGAACTGGAAACTATGTTCACTAAGTTCAATAAAGTCTAACCGGCAACCAAGTGTAGAAAACAAAGGTGGGTAGCTTGGAATTTGTTGTCACGATTGTGGATTCAATCCTCACTTATGCCAAAACATTTCCCACCTTATTGAATTTGGGGTGGGCAAAGAAAAATAGAGATTTGTAGAAGCAAAATCATCCAAAATTGATAATTAATTAATGGAAGATTTACATACATACCAATCAATTTCTATGTACTTACATATCAACACCTAAACTTCAATTTTTGCATACAAACAACTTACCCATGCATGAAAAGGTTTATTTGACTTTTTAAAAGTTAAAATGGTGGTTGTGAAAATTTTGAGTTGTATAAATGTAAAAAGTAAAGTGTAGATATTAGATATGTAAATACATAAGGGGAGGTATGTATGTACTCGGTGATACCATATAACAAATCTAACTAACCGTTTGGAGCGGTGGGTTCCCTTCCCTACAGTGTGGTTTCGTACCACAATTTGCGGTGTTTCTTTACAACGGCATGGTCGTGGTCTGATTAATTTTATGCAAAACGCCTTCCCTTGACAAGCCTCTTGCCCTAAAAATCTCCTCTCTCAAGCCCCTTGATTTTGTGGTTGTGATAGCTAGCCCTTGTTTCTAGTTGTCTTTCGGTGGTTTCGGGCGGCTGTTGTAGTGAGCTTCCACTCTTCTCTCCCTCTCCTCTTTCATTTGGTTCGGTTTGGTGGTTTTGCACAGTCTGCGTTTTGTGCGGCGGGTCTTCTTTTTCGGTTTTGGTTGGTTGTTCTGGTGAACTTTCTATTCTTCCTCCCCCTCTTTTTTTCGGCTTGGTTTAGTGGTTCTGTGCACAGTGCGCTCCATATGGTGGTTCCTCTTCTTCATCTCCCCATTGTTCTGGTATTCTTTACGTTGTCTACTAGTTAGTGTTTGATTTTGCAATTGGGTACAATGGTTCAATTGTGGTAGTTTTTTATTTTGCAATTTGGTGGTTTTGGCTCTCTGCTTTTCAGTTCCAGTGGTTGTTGGTTTTTCAATTTGGTGGTTTTCGGTGTAATATGCTTGGTAGATATTTTGTTTCTTTATGTTGCATCCTGTTGATGGTTTTGGTTATGTGCAATGGTTGGTTTTGTGGTGATGTTTACATATGTGAATTGGAATATAGATAGTGGTGATTGGAAATGCAAGTGAAAAGGCAATAGAAATGATACGTTCAGTAGGTCATTTTGCTTCTTTATGTCGCAACATGTTGATGGTTTTGATTATTTGCAATGGTTCGTTTGGTGGTGATGTTTGCATATGTGAATTGGAACATACATGGATGTGGTTGGAAATACAAGTGAAATAACAACATTCTCGCAAAGACATTGATTTTTGTAGGGCAGATGATCATTCAAATGTCCCTGCTGAGTTGTATGAATATCATATTGGACAGTCTTTGTCACAGGCTCAAAATGATATGCCCAAGACCTGCACTCAAGATAAGGAAGGTACAAACAAGATGACAGAGATAAGGGAACGAATTACGGATGTTATAATTAGAGAGTGATTTGAGGGAACTAGTTTTTATTTTTATTTATTGTAATAGTTGTTGAAAATATTCACTATTTATTGGATATGCATTTAATACAAGTTATGTATATTTCTGAATCTTATGCATTTGTTATTTGTTCTGCTGAGTTGTATGAATATTATATTGGACAGTCTTTGTCACAGGCTCAAAATGATATGCCCAAGACCTGCACTCAAGATAAGGAAGGTACAAACAAGATGACAGAGTTAAGGGAACGAATTAGGATGCTATAATTAGAGAGTGATTTGAGGGAACTAGTTTTTATTTTTATTTATTGTAATAGTTGTTGAAAACATTCACTATTTATTGGATATGCATTTAATACAAGTTATGTATATTTCTGAATCTTATGCATTTGTTATTTGTTGTATCGATTTTCTATGCAAGTAATATGTACTTACTATTTACATGTATTTTTCTCCCACTTGAATGGCCAATGAGGCAACCGTGGGTAATTTATGTATCATAAATATTGCATGACTTTTTTGTGAATTTTGGAGATATATTATGAGAAGTTTGATCTTATGGGTTCTTCTTGATAACATATATGTCGTTATTGATTAGTGTCACATCTTAAATCTTAATGGAAGCAAACAAATTCACCTCCTTTTTCAGTGCTATGTTTTTTAGGTTCTTTTGGATCCTCTTTTTCAGTGCTATGATTTTTTAGGTTCTTCTAAATAAGCTTTTTTTGGTGATATACATATCTCACACACACGAGCTCAGTATTACATGAGTTAAAACCAACCAATAACTTTTTTTTATAAAACTTATTGTTTTCTTGCAGTGACAGATTCGTTGTTTTATATAATGAGTTTTCTGCATAAAACTTTAATTAATTACATTATTAATTTTAACTAGTGTTATATCTATGGATATGTGTTTTTAAGTCTTTAGGAAAGATGAGTTCGAGGATTTTCAGTATCTCCAGAGGATTGCACTGCTACTGTAGACTACAATGTTTTTTACTTACTTCGCGGCGGCCACATAGCTACAGGAGACAGTTTTACATGTGCCCAAAGAGAATCACAGAGAACTGTGACTATTTTAAGTGCGCATATGAGTTGAAAGGTTCCACCACCAAGAGTGATCGGGCGTGAAGAATTTCCCTAGAGGATGGCTTCTCTCATGACATACACCATCTGCATTTAAAAAATAATGTTAAAATATTATTAATTTTTATTTTGATAGTCATTTTCTTAATTTTGGTTGTCATGTTACTCACTGTTTAGTGAGGTGTCTATCTTTATTTTGTAATGTTCTGCACTGGATATTTACTTTCAAGTATGAAATGTACTAGTATGAATAATTATATTGTAAACAACATTATAATACAGATGCAGAACAATCATTTGTTCGGAAACAACTACAGCACAATTGTTTTCAACTGTAAAAAACAAACAAACAGTCAGTTTTTGCGTAGCAACTTCTTGCCACAGCTGCCCTAAACATGCCCTAAGTTAAAAGGATTTGCACGTTGAAAATAGGGAAAGGGAAAGAGGGAAATCATTGATAACAAGTTGCTTTAAAGTAATTGGTGTGAACTGATAACCCCCAAACAAAGAAAAATGATAGAAGGTTATGACTCTGATTTTATGTTCTAGATGAAAGAGAGAACATCGAGTGATCACATAAGAAATTCAATAAAAGTGAAAGCTGATATCTTAACAGCCTCACATTTCAAAAGATAATTCTAATGGGATCACATTGGTGGTTCTGACAATAGTGAAACATGGAATCAAGCTCAGAATTACTAAAGAAAGTGAACTTAATGGTCAATATAAAGAACTGTCCAAATATTTATTTGACTGCCGAATGGAATTCCTTTTCGAGCTTGCAGTAATGGAATATCTACTGTATTTTAAAAATAATGTGAGCATATTATTAATTTTTATTTTAATAGTCATTTTCTTAATTATGATAGTCATACTACTCACTGTTTAGTGAGGTGTCTATCTTTATTTTGTAATGTTCTGCATTGATATTTGCTTTCAAGTATAAAATGCACTGGTATAAATAATTCTACTACAAACAACATTATAATACATAGGCATAATAGTCATTTGTCCAGGAACAATTGCAGCACAGATATTTTCAAACTGCAAAAAACAAACAGACAATTAGCTTCAACGTAGAAGCTTGTTGTCATAGCTGCCCCAAACAATCCCTAAGTTAAGGATCTACATGTTGAAAATAGGGAAAAAGGGAAATCATTGATAACAAGTTGCTTCGGTTTGGGGAGAGTGGTGCGGCTAGGGCAAGAGAAGGAAGCTTTCAAGACAGTAGGGAGGTGTTCGGCTACGCCTTCTATTTGAGTGTGGAGGAAAGAGATCGAGCTAGGGCACAGTGATAGAGGGAGGTTTGGGTCTCTGTAGGCCGACAATCCCGTTGTTGCCTTCCCAGTTAGCGCTAATCACGACTGCCATGCAAGAGATTTGGGCAAGACAGGGAGAGGCGAAGCAAGTTAGGGATAGAGCGGGCTTTGGGAGCGGCAAAAAGAAATGGTCGCAACAGCATGTTCTTGTGTACGAGAATTTGAGCGGATAGAAGCGAATAGAAGAGAGTGGTTAGGCTCTGGTTAAGGCAGAGCAGCAGAGTGAGGCGTGGCAGAGACGATCATGACACAGGGATTGCGTGCGGCTTTTTGTGCAAGGAGTGGAGGATCAAACAAAAATTTTGATTGTTTTGTGCCGCTCAAGAGAAAAAATAGGGATGACAGAGGCACATAAAAAGGAAAAAGACTTTGTTTGCATTTTTGAACATGAAAGAGAAGATAAAGTCAAAAAGTAACAGTGAGTGCAAACCTATGTAGTAAATGTGGTAGTGAGGCTTGCGATATGACAAAGAAGGCCTTTGGTGTAGGGTGCGACCATACCCACAGCAGTGCACGGGATCCCATCAAAACTCCGCAGTTAATTGTGCTTGGGCGAGAGTAGAACTAAGATGGGTTTGATAATCCATTGTAGAAAGCACTAATTTATTCAATTATTTTATGTGATATTTTATACATTATATAATGGTTAATTTTGTAATATTATTTATTAAACAAATGGTTAAAAAATTCATTTACATCATTTTAATTAGTAAAAAATACACATTGTTTATGTAAATCATGAATTAATTAGATAACTGAATTTGATCATGTTATAAATTTTATTAAGTTACAATTTATATTAAGAACTTTTAATATAATAAAAATTTCATATGATATAAGCGTGTTTGTATATGTATTATCAATTAAACTTTTTGATATTGGCTAGCTGGATTGACGAGTCCACAGTGACAACTAAGAAATAATTGGATTTTCATAAGATAGGTGCTTAATTTTCCTGTTTTAAAGTATTAGAGTAAATCACCTAAAATTATATACGTGAACATACTAAAATTTGATATATGATTAATGAGCCATTGATGGTTATATAAATACTATAAGCATGAGAATGAATGCTTTAACTTTCAAATGCAATGATCGTCAATTTGCAAAATGAATTCGTATGAACTCTCCTGCATGATAAACATCGTTAAATGGTTGCAATGTTAAAAATCTTATCTTTTCTATGCTATTTGTGATTATTATCATATAATATCATAATGTTATTTTTGTAATACCCGATTCAAACGATTTGTAAGCTGGAACAATACGTTTCATATGCCGAGATAGGAATCGAATCAAGAGCCAGCACATGATTTAAATAGAGATGAAGGGAGGAAAAAGGTATAGATCGAGAGAAGAATCGAGCAGTGTCAAAGAAGACGTGAAGGAGGAAGTTATGTGTGGAAAGAAGAGGAATGTAGGTGAGTTTTGTGCAACGAAGGAAGAAGAAAGAACAACTATGTTTGCGGGTTCGACAAAAGGAGGAAACGGAACCTCGAAGCCGAGTGAAAGAACCCAAGCGAACCGAACCGCAAGAAAGAGAAATGGAGCCCTTTACGAAAAATAGAGCCCTGGGCAATCGAATGCAGCAAAGAAGGGAGCAGGAGCCAGGAGCTCTCAACCGAGATTTAAATGTAAGTTTTCATAATTTTAATTAATTGATTTTATAAGTGTGTGTGTGTATATGTATGTAAGTACCTATGTATGTGTGTAAATTGTAATGTTAATAAAAATTTTATTGAATTAAGACTCTTGGTTTAAATTTTAAGCTTGGAGAGTAATAGAAGAAAGAGAAGTGCGCAAACCAAAGGAAGGAGATTGACCAGAGCAAACTCCGGTAAGGTAAGTTTGGATTTATATTATAAATTAATTAATGAATTTTAAATATATATATTGAATAGCAAAATAAAGTTAATTAGGATTTCATAAAGTAGAACGATGGAAATTAATACTTAAATAATGTAAAGTTAGGACTTAATTAAAATACTATCAATAAAATAAATTTTAGTAACCTGAATACCATGTTTATTATAGACAGCAATTTTAGAAAAGTCGAGATTAAGGCAAATCCAAGAACAAATAAATCAGCATCAAGGTGAGTATTCATATTTTTATACTATGGTAATATGTTCTTTCTTCTTGACCAAATGCACTTATTATTATTGTTATGTTTATAGCCCTGCATACTCATGATTTATGGTTTTATTGAATTTTTTTCATATTATTGGAGTAATATGTATACTCGGCATTGTTTAAATTAGCATAGATATTGATTTGTGTGCAAGTATATTGTCTGCTTTATAAATAAGAATGAAAGAACTATTATTAAATAATGTTTATTATTTGTATGTGCATGTTTGCCTGTGATAGAGTCTCCTCTTTATGGTACTAACAAGAAAATACTAGGGTACCCGTGCATATAAATGAAAAAGACTATTGATATTGAAGTACCTTAACTGGTACAATTTTTAGACGGTACTCTTGTGACGATTGTACAGACATAAAATGATATATATAAGTTATTGATATAATAAATCACATTAAATAGTATGAATTATTATAAGTAATCATATTCATAAACTATCAATTAATGTATATTGATCTATTAAAAACTTAACTAACAAACATTTTTTTTTTTTTTTTTATCACTGATTTTGGTTAGCTCACTGTTGTTTTAAATTAAGTTTTCAGGTGTAATTAATTGATAAAAAGATAAGGAATAGAAGAAAAAAGGTTTATGGAAGATGTAAATAGCATGTAATGAGGTAAATTTATTTATAGGTCTTCAACTTAATTTCTTTAGTGGCTCTTTTATTTATTAAATATTAGTTATCAAAAACTATTAGAGAAAATTTAATTCCCACAGTCCAACCGCCGGAACCCGCCTTAATTAATTTCAAGCCCCGGGCCGGATCGCAACAATTTTTGCCTCTTTAATTAATCATATTTATGCTTTGTCTTGTCATTTATAATTTACTCAATGGGATTCACAAACTGAGGAGTTTAACTTTAAAATTATTTAATTAATTCAATGGTACAATTAAATTTTAATTTCATTAAGATAGATATTAATAGGTGTTAGTGGAATCAGATGCTCTGATAATCCTATTGTAGACCACAAATGCTATTGAAATCAAGTTTATTCTTATTGAAATTATTTCTGATTTTTTAGCTCACGCCCTCCAATCGGATTTTTGCATTTCTTATCAGGATCAATGGGTAGGGCGTGACAAATCATATTTGTAAGTGATTTGCACTAGGAAAATTAATTTGTGACCAAGACCAAATCAAGATTCTGAAAAAAGGCAGGATTACACCTCAAGCAACTAATGGAAAGATAAAAACAAAACTTCATAGTCAAGTAGCGGCAATAAGAGTTTCACCTAAATGTCCAATTTTTCATCTTCAAAGAGGCTCCAACTCAATTTTTCCTTCGTTTTGAAGGTACATAATAATTTCGAATAAAAAATTTCAATAGCAAAGATATCAAGATACCGAGATAATAATGCTTAAGTCTAAGTATTTATAGGTAAAATAAACCTTAAAAGTAAAATAGCCAGTCTACAACGGCAAAATTATAGCAAATAAAGAGATCTGTCCTGTAAAAATGAACACATTAAATTTGTTCTCGCTGTTTACCATTATGAATTTTTGTCAAGCAATCACTCAGTAAATTGATATTCAGATTCATGACTAGTTTAACAAATAGCAGAAAAGATGAGGACAAGTATTACCTTGAGTTCCAAGTCCTTGTAGCTGTTGATTTTTTTCTAATAAAGTCATCAACATGGGATAGAGAAGATTTTGAAGTTTCTTCAGCTTCTGATGCAGGAAAATTTAGAACCATTGAGGATAAGAATGAATCAGAAGCTGCAGTTGAGGTACTAGAGTTGCTTGGCCGATAAGCCCCACCCCCCAAAATCACCTGTAGGTGAGCCTCACGAAGGTCTCTCCCAAGAAGTGATAGTGCCTGGCTATTGGGCATAACAACTCTTCGTAACCTTCGACGTCTCTGCAAGTGATGCTAAGTCAAAGAAAATTATGAATCCCCTTGAGCTTTTTTGTAAAATTTATCAAAGACTTATAGTTGAGTGGATAATGTTGTTTGGTTTCTTTCATACATAGTCTTGGATATCAAGTTCTTCCAGCCTTTTTATTTGAAACAATTCAATCAAAATATATGCAATAGTTGGAAGGTTAGTTCTTAATAAGCTCAATATTTTTAAATTGTTTAGCTTTTTTTATTTTAATCTAATCAATAAGCTCGTTATTTTTAAATTGTTTAGCTTGTTTTTCTTTTAAACAATTCAATAAGCTTCTGTTGAACCTATTATGAGAAGACAAGGTTTGTTATAAGGGAATGGATCATGATTATGGTAAGTTCAGAGTCTCCCTCCTCGTTTCTAAGCTTCAATATTATTTCAATAAAGTGGCACTTTGGTGTTGTAATTTTGAGCTAAATGTGCACCAAAGATTTTATATCTTGGTGGCACATATCACTGGTGAAATATTACAGAAAAGGATATCTTGAAGGCTTGGCCATGTTGCAGCATAATATGACTCAGCATGTCTCCCGTAACCTTAACAGAGCAAATGGAGCAAACCTGAAAGAAAGAAAAAGTAATGGCATCATGGGAAATTTCTAACAAATGCCGCAACACTTTAAAACACAAATTTTAAAATGTCAATTTTTTATATTAGTTTAATAAAGAAGCTATACAGCCCACACAGTTATCACTTTAATGCTATAAAAAATTAGGTTGGATGGCGATATGTGGCAAATGAGATTTCTTAAAACATAACAGAAATTTTCAAATGTCACCTTGTCCTGTGGAGTATAGTGAATTTTGCATCAGAGTTGTTGATAGTATTTGTATTATTATAGTTAATTTATAGTCGGTGAACCTCTAGCATAGATGGATAAAAGGACAATTTTCTGTCTCATTCTACTATTTCTTTAGTTATTATGATTCTTCGTTAGATTTTATGTTCTGAGTTTATGCGTTTGAACCCTAACTGCAACAAACTACAATAGATTCTCCTGTTTTTACTCAACTGTGCAAAGTTCCATTTTTTTCTTATGTGCAGTGTCATCCCACCCAACCCTTCTCAATCAAAGACAAATTACTTCACCTTTCCACAACGAAAAAAGCAGGTATAATATAAGCTCTCACTAGTTAGGAGCTTGAAGTTTAATAATACTGACTAAAGCATTCTGCAAAATTGTGCAGTGGAATTTAGTTTGTAAAACTTGCTTGCCACTAAATCAGACACAATATGACTTGCTACAATTGGCAGGGCCTCTGCTAGATCCCATGTTGTAATCAATGCCTTACCTGATAAATTATAACTAAAGCATCACTTTAACACCCCATTGTCAATAATATCCTCTTCTACTTCAGTTTAAATTTAATACCATTGCCACTTCTTCTGATACAATAAATTCATATATCAACATTAGCACAAACCACCTAAATTCATTTATGAAATGGTAATAACAGGAGACAGCAAAGTTTCCACTTTTGAGCAGCGGATCATGAGAAAAGATACATTATCAATTAAATGAAACAAAACAAAATAAACCAACGCATAAAAAAATAGCTAAGCAACACTTTCAGACTAGGTGTTCAATAAAAAGTTATTTTGAAGAGGAAAATGCTCTATTTCGCCAAGCAACAAGATTACAAACAAACTCCAAAGCCATGTAGAATTTTTTATTTGGAAGTAAACAATAGATCCAACCAACAGAGCTCGGACTAACTTTTAATTTGTTTTATCTTTTCTTCAGTCGAGTCTAGCAATACTTTTCCAACAAAATTTCGATACTAGCCCCACTTCTTCATGAATGAAGCATAATACATCATAAAAAGGAGCAAACTAAAATTCATTTCATAAGCTAAAATCAATATTAGTCCAATCTTCTTATGGGGTGTAACAAATCCACACAATTCTTTCCAAAGAAACTGATGAACCGTTACCTCTTTTCAAGGATAAGTTAGAATCTAAGAGCTTATTCAGTTATTGTAAGTGAGAATAAGTAGCAGTTCCACTTCCAGAAGTTGAAGTTAGATAAACAAATTTAAGATGGCTGTTTAGAAGAGACACCTTTATTTTCTATAATTTGGTTGAGAAGAGCCCAATAAACTGGTAAAGTTACCGCCACATATATGCATGCAATATTAATAAATTAAGCTTATATAATATGTTTTTATATATGAAAGTACTCTATTTACACAGAGAATAATTCTTAATCAGTTTCTCGGTGTATTGCGGATTATATAATTCAAGTAGTGAGATATCCACTGAAATAAATAAGAAAATTAGAATAGAGCAGATGCTTAGAAGATAGAGGCGTAGGATTAGTAGAACAAAGATTTAAAATAGGCCTTGGGTCTCTATTGAAAAAAGAGAAAGATGATAACTTCATTAGTAGTAGTACTAGTAGTATGTTTGTGTGTGTGTGTGAGTGTGTGTGTGTGTGTAACATATATATACATGTACATGTATATGTATGCACACATGTCTATGTATACGTATATACATATGTATATCTATATGTATGTGTGGCATATGTATACATGTACATGTATGTATGCATGTATATGTATGCACACATGTTTATATACGGATTATATATGAAAGTACTCTATATGAATGTGTGTGTGTTTGTGGTCTATATTTTAAAATGTTGAACAATATATAATATCAATAAATGTATGCATGAAGAAGAAGGTGCATGTGTAAGTAGCATTATGATTTCATTGGGACTTTCAATAACTTTCAAACGTACATTTGACTTCAAAACCAAATGGATAAAAATCTAATCACTTCCAAGGAACAAGATACCAATTAATTCTCTCAAAGAAACAAACGAAGTAGCCAACTTTCCTCAATTCCAATTTCGCACCTCTACTTACATGCAACAAAGCAAGCCCTAAGTAGTGAAGATGGTGCTCCAAGGATCTCACAAGAAACACAACTTATGGATAGAAGGTAATAAACGCAAGAGCATTTAGAAAAACTAGAATAAAGAACTGCACAGCGGGAACTTCCCGCTGAATTCCACAAAGGCTTGTTGAAATTAAGGAGATAACCCAAGGAAAGGTCATCATCGATCGTGATAGTGAGATTCGATGAGTGTGGGAGGAACACCAAAATCCCTTCCGTAGGAATAATTCCAATGAAGAGGAAGGTAGGACACATCGCTTGGAATTCAATATCAAAGGAGATTGAGAGATGAAGTGTCTTTTGGAGTACAAGAAACCTGAGACTCTAGGCAAGATGGTAGACCTACCGGATTTCGGAGGAGAATAAATCCAGTTGATTTTATTGAGTGGCTCCAGACAGTCAAGAGTTTTTTTGAAAATAAGAATGTGTCAGTTCACAGGAAAGAGAAGCTTGCGGCTATTAAACTGAAAAAAAATGTCCACAATTTATCAAGAGGATTTTTTAATATAAAGATTTATCAGCTGGCAGGAAAGTGAAGCTTGCGGCCATCAAACTGAAGAAGTGTGCCTCATTATGATAGGAGAATCTAAATAAAGAGAGATAGAGAGAATGTCGGAAAAAGATCACTATCTGGGAGAAGACGAAAAAGGAGATGTAGAGGAATTAGTTATCCACACACTACCGCCAACATATGTCTTGAAGTTCCAACACGTACGGTAGAGGGAATTGTCAGTGGAGGAGTTCACGATGGATTTTGAACAACTTAAGCTAAAGTGTGAGCTAACAGAGCTAGAGGAGCACACCATAGTCAAGTACTTTTGAGGCTTGAAGCTCTCCATCGAAAATTTGGTCTAGCTACAACCTTATTGGTCGTTGGGAGATGTTCAGAACTTGGCACTAAAGGTGAAGAGACAGTAGACTCAGAGCAGGAACCCACCTACATTCAGACAATCACCCACAGGTAGAGGCATAAGAAGTGGCTCATCTTAGAGAGTTGAGAATTCTGGTCAAGAGAGTGAGATAGTTGCACGCCAAGTACAATTCTAGCTAGGAAATATTTCAGATGTCATGGATATGAGCACATAGCCTCCAGTTGCCCTACAAGTAGACTTATTTCATTCACCGAGCAAGGTGCAAAGGAAGAGGTGAACGTGGAGGAGACAATGGAAGGGCAGGGTGAGTGGTACATACTTCCAACGAATGAGGGAAGATGCCTGTGGTTCGACAGGATCCTTCAGACTAAAGCTACGACGAATTTGTTGATACACTTTGCCACAATATCATTCATACACGTTGCATTGTGAAGGAAAAAATATGCAACCTTATTTAGCTAAGTCCTCAAGTTCTTTCAAGACAAACGGCATGAAGGTGAGGTTAAACTAACAGGTTGGCCATCCTTTGCTAAACATGAGTCTAGCATTCACGAATTTGTTGATCTCCTTGCTCATGAGGCCTACCAAGATGAAATCTGGAATGTCATTACATCCCTTGGCTCCAATCAATCTCCTGACTTGAGTGGTAATAACCTTCTCTTTCTTAAAGAATTTTTGGAGCATTGTAAAAAAGGAGGTACTTGAGATGGTTATGAATTTCTTCTCCAGTGGCCGCATGCCAACATATTGGAAGGAAACCCTTGTTGTGCTGATCCCAAAGACAAATAACGCCATGGAAATTTCCAAATATAGACCATTCAGCCTATGCCAATCAATTTACAAAGTGGTAGCTAAAATCTTGGTAAACAAAATGAAGGGCGTCCTTCCTGCTATTGTCTCGGACAAACAAGGTGCGCTCTCTATCTGAACTCCCTGTCTCTTGTGTAGGAAATGATCAATAAATTTCAACACACCGTCTCCACGGCGGGCTTTATGACCTTCAGCACACCATCTCCCCAGCAGATTGGATTCCATACAATATTTCAAGCATATTCTATGAACTTTGACCATCATTTCTCCACCCACTTTAATGCTCAAATTTTCACAAAATCAAGACCAACCATCAACTCCTGCAGAACTACCACAGGCAACCAAATCTGTGAAAGTTACATTGAGAGGTGATAAGAAGAAAGGATTAGCAAGTTATTTGTATTCAATAGACTTTTATTAAAATTAATGTATGATTGAATATTTGCCACATGTCCATCTTTAATATTAACTGCCATAATTAGTTGGTCTTAGTGAATTAGTAGAATTTTTAGAAGATAAAGAGTTTGAATGCTATAAGTGTAAGCCTCAAGAATTAGTTGTTTAGTATGAATTAAAAGAAAATTTAGATGTCATGCAAAAATCTACAATTGCTTTATTGTTCCAATAAAAGCCAACAATTTCCTCCAAACAATACTCTTAAAAAAAACGCTCCAAAGAGCATTATGGTTAGTGAAGATATACTTAATGAGTATCCATAAATGCTGAAAAAGTAATATAATTGTTGGTTCCACCTGCTCCTTCATGTCTCTATTTTTTTTTGCATGACCATTTTTATTTGTACAGGGGTTGGCCCAAGTACCAAAAAAAGCAATTTTGTTCATGTCTTACATACGTTTTCACAAGAAAATAATAACAATAATATGTTGTAGAAACAGAAAAATTCACATATTTATCATGAACCTTTTCTAACTTCATCCTAATTCCACAAGAAGGTAAAATAGGTTTTTTTTACATTGTAACCCAATCAATTATAACTAAATCTAATCATGAGAACACAAAACAATGAGGAAACGAAACTAAATGCAGAATGTGCCCCCACCAACAGAGTAAAATCTACTCTAAGAACAAGAAGAGGAAGAGCTCATGCAGATCTCATGAGGTTGCGGGAAAAGATAACGGATCAAAAAATACTTAACATATATTCTAGAGCTTCCATAGCATATAAAAAAAAAATTAATTTAACATTAACAAAAAGAAAACATGTACACACAGCAAGAAAGGCCAAAACTTAAAACATGAATCAAAATGAACACATAATTATATTTCATGTAAATAAATTAGATCTTTACTCAAAACACTAATGAATTCGATTTCTTTCAGCTTGTTTTATACCAACATAAATTTTTCATCCATTAACATATGCCATGAAATTATTTGGATAAAAGACTATTTAACATAGATTCTTACAGCAGCTTTAGATTCAAAAGGGTGCTCATCTTCAAGATGAGAGCACAGTGATGTGATGTCATGATCCTCGTAGCAAAAGGGACAAGGAAAATCCGGGCGGGCATCCTCTTCCAATTCGTATTCATCCACATCAAACCGATCTGGAACCTAACAGAACCTCGTCAAGCCAAGAAATTTACAAATAAAACACCCTTACAAGATCGAGGGAGGGGGTTGAGGGGACCTCAAGGAAAAGGGGGAAGGAGACCTGTGTGGGAGCTATGCTGTTGCTGGAGCGAGTAATGCCTCTTTGCAGCGGCAAGGTGAGAGATCCACAGATCAGAATCCATTAGTTGATTGCTTGGGAAGAGATCCCTAAAAAATCTAGCCACAGAAAAGGATTTCTCTCACTTTCTTCCCCTTGCTTGATCTTATATATCCTCCTTTTGCCGCTTGTTCCTCGAGCAAAGTCTTCCTCTACTTCTTCCTATCCGCCGTTGAAGATTTCACAGAGAGAGTTAAGGGGCAGGGGAAGTGGAGGAAGAAAAATGAACTGGATAACAATGGGGTTTTTATCGGTTTCAACGAGGCACGGTGCCGACTGCCGACGTGGAGTTTGGGAGGAGCTCGACTTTTGCCGCTTGTCGTTTGCGGATAATTTAACAAATCGGCGTCGGCATTCTTCCCCTTTTCCATCAGTTTGGCCTTATTTGGGAAATTTTCCTTAAGAAATAACTTTAAGGAAGTAATGATATAAGATTGCGGCGGCTAAATTTGATGGTACTTTGAATAGAAAAGTTTTCTTTTGTGCTTTTTAACACTAATTAGTGGTCATTTTTTAATTAGTAAAGAGTATAATAATAATTTTAAATATCACCAATATTTCCAATATTAATTTTATTTAAAAAGTAAAAAAAAATATCCTAGCTAGAATTCCTTCATTGCCTTGAAGCTATTCACGACACACCGCTTTTATCATGTCACGCTCTGTCATATTCAATAAATTAGCAAGTCAATCATTAGGTGGAAGATTCTAGAGAATATTAGAATTTGGAGAGTCATCTGAGGGACTCTAGAAGATTCCACCACATTTTTAAAAAATGTTAGAAGGAAAGTTCCAAGGAGAACTCAAGAATAAGCTATAAAGGTCTAGGACTATGCATGTATCTAAAGAATGGTATATAACTATCTAGAAACTAGACAATTTTAATGCAATCTTGAAAGTTTTATTAGGCTTGGAGGGGACTATAAATAGGAGTTCCCCCCCCCCCCCCCCTCTCTACACTATAAAAATATTACTGCATTCATCTAAGAACCATCTAAGGTTTCAAGCATTCAAGTGTTGTAATTACACTTTCTTAGTAGAGTGTTTTCTTTCTCCAATACTTTTGTCTATTATTCTTCCAAGAGTGTTGTGTGCTTACAAGTCCAAGAGTTGTCAGGGTTAACTGATTTAGTGCAAAGAGAGCGCTAAAGCCACGCGGATGACTTGGGATAATTTAGTTCGTGACAGTTGGTATCAAAGTCTCAGTTCAAATGTATGACAAAAAGCGTCAAGGCACACGTAGTGAAGTCTGAAGCCACTAATGTAGAATCATCTCAACAAGGACGAGGTCACAAGGAACAACGTGATCTGGCTGCATCCAAATCACATGAGAGATCCAAGGTGATCACACACAGCGCCTCGCTCAGGTGGAGGAGCCTTTGAATGGCATGGAGACCTAAATAAAGGATCTTGGGCAAAAGATTGATGAGACATTGATTGTTTAGATAAATTTCAATTAAGTGCAAGGTATTAGTTATTTTTTTTATCTCCTAATGGTTGTTGCCTATTGATGCACTCTTCACATCAGATTTTTTTTATTATTACTTGTGTTATAATTTATTTAAATGTTTAGATGGTTTGGAATTTGGATTGTTTAGCTGGTTGGTTGGGTTCATGAACAATTTACTTGTGAGGGGCCTGGGTTGCTTGAATTATTAAGTCTATCACAAAAAATGTTTAGATGTGTCTTCCAAACTGTTACACTTCTTCCTTTTATTTACATTGTTTGATTTGATTCGAGAGCAGAGCAAGGATTTCCTTGCTGAGCTGGATTTCTTTGTTGTGATGGCTCGGGTTTCTTTGCTGAAATTGAATAGTTCCTGTTTGGTTTAAATTATTATAACATTCAACAATTTACTTATGTTGGACGCTAGGGCTTGGGAGCAAAGTTTTTAAACTAATTTTCTTAATTTTTAAGCTTTTCTGCTTAATTTTTAAGCTATTTTTTAGGTTGAAATATTATTAACGTTGTTAAGATGTTATTAGAAGCTATGATAATTACTATTTATAAAATATCATTATTGGTATTATATATTAACATTTATGTTTGTAACTAGTTTTAAGATAAGAATAAGTAAAGTTGTCTAAGATTATTAATCTTACTCTTTTACTTTGAAAGACAAACACTTTATGCAAGCCACAATGGAGGAATATAACAGTTTCTCTGGATTTTAATTTGACACCTTAGATATTAACTATAATTTCATTATACTTGAAAGACACTTAAACTGTGCAACCGTAAAGTTGATTTAGATGAAAATGATGAATGAAGTTCATAATGTTTAATATGAGCCTTAAATAACAATTACATCTTAATTTTTATTTTCATTTATAGTTTGTTATTTTTTTCCTATTATATTTATTAGAATTGTATGTACAATATCATTATTGAGTCATTGTCACTACTAATCATTACTCATGGATCGTCGAACATAAGATTAAGGAATGAGTACAATATCATATTTTTTAAATTTAATGTCTTTTTCTGCATTTCTTAGATGTGTAACTGACAAGTATATGTGTAAGTACAATTTTGTAAATGTAAATATGTAATATAATTATTTTTCATGTTTTGATTTTTATTTAAGTTTATTTGTATTCAGGTTTAATTTGTAAATTATAAACTTGTATTAACTTTTTTTTTTTAAATGAAACTAAATTTGTCACATGTACTTTGTTCGACAATTTTTTTTTAATATTTTTATTGTGCAAAATTGGCATCAAATTTACTTTTGAAATTTTTTAAACTTATCAATGTTTTATGATTTGAAATTAAAATATTAATGCAAATAGTTTTTTAAAATAAAAATATTATTTTAATTTTATTTAAAAAATCAGTATACTAATAATTTTTTATTCTAAAGAGCTAATTTCAAGCCCAACACGAACACGTATAAGTAAATCGAGGCTAACACGTTCGTATTCGGCTCGTATTGGCTATAAATAATTAAATCATAATATTTATTTATATTATTCTCATATTAATTTTTATACTATATTTTAAAATAATACATATAAAAGATTTGAGTGGTGTAAAGCTAAAAAAGTAAAATTTAGTTTTAGTTCCACAACGGTGGAAGAGATTTTATTACAGCCTTAAAGATGCTTAAATACAGGAAGATTCGTATTTTGAGGACCCACTTAAAGATACTAATTTTTTAAATCCAATTCAAGTCGAAGATAAGCTTTTAAAACATTAGAGTTTGAATCAAATCGAATATAAATAAGCTGTTCACGAGCTATTTCAAACAAGTGCCAAACACGAATCCTAACCTCATTTTTCCAAAATAATAATAATAATAATAATAATAATAAAATATTTGCTAAATCGCGGGACATTTTAGTTCAACCTCCCCGTTTCTCGCAGTTTCGCAGACGTACCCTCCGTCAAGTTTAGGGTTAGGGTTTTCTCTGGTTCGAGAAGAAATGTCCACGGCGGCGGCGGGGGAGCAGGGAGCGGCGGGG